ATATTTCATAAACCCCTTTGTCCTCTATGACAAAGAGCCACGATGAGCGTCGGCTGCAGCTCAAGCCTTGTGACAATTCCTGAATGAAATTTTTGCACAACCTTTGTGATAAGAAGCCAATTGAGTTACAAAGTTTAGCCAGAAGTCACAAGAATGGTTTCATGCACTGCTTCCCATTGCTTACATTACAGAACAACAATGACAAATGGTCGACAGAGGGGATTTTTCCCCCATGCAAAAGAACAAAAAGATTGCAGTGACAATTTTCAGTGCATAAAATAATAAATGTACAGAATTTGCATGCACATAAAATAAAGGGGTCCCAAAATGAGGAAAGAGTCTGATGTCACTTTTAAAAAAGAGGTACACTTTAGAGTACTTGTGAACTGAATGTAACGCTTTTGGACACTTAACTGCATGTTAACTGCAATTAAATGAAAACGTATTATAGTTTTAATTTATATTAAATGCTGACCCACTTAAGTAGGACTTAAGTACATCTTTATATGCAATTTCATCATTACTTCTACTGTCTTTGAAAAATGGTTAAAGTACTGCTAAATGTACTGACAAGCATTTATGATAAAATGCCATGTATTTAAATATGTTTGTAATTAGACATTTGTAATTATCAAGTTGCACTTTAGTACATTTAAAATAATTTAAATGTAATATTGTATATTATAATCAAGTACTTAACATGTGCTTCAGAATGTTAGTCACACATCAAAATAAGTGTAAAAGATTATTAAAACAATGATTTAAAATTTATTTTAAATTAAAACCATTAATTTGACATTATTGCAAGGTGCACTTCATAAAAGTGTACTTAAGTGTGTTCAGAATGTGTCTCTTTAAGCCACTTAAGTGTTCTTTCATTAACATTAAATTATCTTCAAGCACAGTTTATAAAATATACTTTTAATATTTGAAGTACACTACAAGTGCACATTCAATACAATTAAGTGCACTTCTTTTTCACAAGGGGTACTGTGAAAATACTGGAACTCTTAGAACGCAAGACTTCCTACCCAGTCCAAAAACAGCATTGCGTATTTATTTTGCAATGCTTGTGTTGAATACACTTGTGAAAAAACAGCAATATTTGTAAATTATAATATAAGTTAAGTAGAACACAAGAGTCTGAATACTTACCCTTCCATGGGGTTCAGAGCGATGGCACGGGGTTTCTCCATCCTCTGCCATAAAAGCACTTTACGTTGTGTGCCGTCCAGATTGGCCACTTCAATGCGAGATGTTCCCGAGTCAGTCCAGTAGAGCTTATTATGAATCCAATCTATGGCCAGACCACCTAAGAAAGTAGGAAAAAAAACTATTATTGCTGCTTGAAAAACTAAATATCATTGCTGCTACAAGTGTTATATATTATTTATTCTTTGTTTCCTTGCCGAAGCATGAAAATAACATTTTACATAATTTATTTATCATTCATTGAAAAATCACTCTGTAATATATGTGTTTTAGACATAGATTTAAAATTATATTATATATATATATATATATATATATATATTGCTCCTATAACAGCTTATTTTTATCAGTTCTTTTGTCTTTGGGTCATTATATTTCTCACAACCAGCGACTAGTCGACATCAAGCTTAAAGTGTCATCATGGCAGAGCATTGAAGTCGACTAGTTGGTGCAACCCTTATACAAGTGCATATATAAGTGCATTAGGGCTGCATGATTAGGACAAAAAACAATTGTTGATTATTTCATTTGACATTTTTGTTGTTTTTCTCATTTCATTTATTTGAGTTTTTATTTATTTGAGTCTTCTTTCTGTGTTGGGCAACTGCATGCCATTTTCTTTATTTAAGCGACAAACACATTAAAAATAAACCAAGAACTGTTCCTGGATGACTTTATTGCTGTTTTATATAAATCAAAACCTAAACTATCAAACTCAATGGTTAAAGGGACAGTTCACCCAAAAATGAAAATTCTGTCATCATTTACTCACCCTCAGGTTGTTCGAAACCTGTATGAATTTCTTTCTTCCGCTGAAAACAAATGAAGACAGCTGCTGGTAGCCATTGACACGTGCATTCTCCTGTTCAATTTCGAGCATCCAATAATATAATCACATGTCTTGTGGAGTTTTCAGAGTATGCATTTATTTGTCATTTTAACTGTTCGGAAACGGAGCGTAAATGTGGAAGTCCTTTAAAGATTTCTTATCCTGTTTCACCCTCTATAGCAGTGTTTCCCAACCGGGGTGCCGTCTGTCGAGAGCAGGGGTGCCGTGTAAAAAATCATTTTTTAATATTTTTAAATTGCTAAAATTAAAAAAAAAAAGCATCTATTATATAATATCCATTTCTGATGTCGCCAATAATTATAGATGCACTGAAATTTCGGCTGCCGAAAATTAGTTCACCGCTCAGGTTTCACTTTCACGTGGTGTGACACTCTGTGTATTATCCCGCTCTATGTGTGTGTGTGCTCCGCTCAGTCGCTCGTGTTCATGCTCATCGGAACAGCAAAGTCCACTCAAAAATCGAGCTGACAGGAAACATCTATGTAGTACAGTATTGTTTCTGTCTGCAATAGCCCTACTGTGTTGTAACATGGTGTGGTATATGGGCAACTCTGGTAACGCTGCCCTCTCATTCAATGATCTGCTAACCGCTATGTTATGCTCACGTGTTCTGATAACAATAGCTTTCTAGGACTAAACATTATTTGGATAATTGGTAAAAAAAAAAAAAAAAAAGTTAAATATCTTAACCCTACTGTTACACCTCCCTGAAAAACTAAAAAACTATTTATTTAAAAATTCCGGCTGCCGAAAATGAGTTCACCGCTCAGGATTCACTTTCACGTGGTGTGACGCTCTGCGTGTTATCCCGCTCTATGCGTGTGTGTGCTCCGCTCAGTCGCTCGCGTTCATGCTCATCGGAACAGCAAAGTCCACTCAAAAATCAAGCTGACAGGAAACATCTATGTAGTGCAGTATTGTTTCTGTTTGCAATAGCCCTACTGTGCTGTAACAAGGTGTGGTAAATGGGCAACTCTGGTAACGCTGCCCTCTCATTCATTGATCTGCTAACCGTTATGCTCATGTGTCCTCTGATGATAATAGCTTTCTAGGATTAAACATTATTTGGATAATTGGTAAAAATAAAAAAAAAAATCTCTTAATAGCTCTACTGTGTGTTAGACCTACCTGAAAAACTAAAAAGCAATTTATTTCATTTGTAGGCCTATCGTGATTTTTTTTTATTTGTGCTATCATTAGTAATTTCTTTATTTGTTCTTATTTTATTATTAACTGCTTAGCCTCCTTGTCATTTTTTATTCAATTCAAAGTTTTAAATCAAGCTATCTCGTGCTACTGCAACAAAATTACCCAGCTGTAAAATCAAAACTTTGTTTAACTAGCTATCTCACAATGTTTACATATGAATAAGAGCCCACATTAAAGTCTGTCATATAAATTGGTCTCTTCATTAGAAATTAGTCTACTGATTGCCACCATTGATAGACAATTTTTTTTTTAATAATATTAAAAATATCTGTATGACATTATATTCTGCAGTTCTTCCCTGTTGTACCGAATATCTATAATTTTCAAATTATCATATCGAAGTTAGAAATTCAAATATTGTGACAAAATAAATTTTGTAGGGTGCCACAAATTTGTTAAAATTTCCAAAGGGTGCCGCGACTAAAAAAAGGTTGGGAAACACTGCTCTATAGGACCAGCGACTAGTCGACATCAAGCTTAAAGTGTCATCATGGCAGAGCATTGAAGTCGACTAGTTGGTGCAACCCTTATACAAGTGCATATATAAGTGCATTAGGGCTGCATGATTAGGACAAAAAACAATTGTTGATTATTTCATTTGACATTTTTGTTGTTTTTCTCATTTCATTTATTTGAGTTTTTATTTATTTGAGTCTTCTTTCTGTGTTGGGCAACTGCATGCCATTTTCTTTATTTAAGCGACAAACACATTAAAAATAAACCAAGAACTGTTCCTGGATGACTTTATTGCTGTTTTATATAAATCAAAACCTAAACTATCAAACTCAATGGTTAAAGGGACAGTTCACCCAAAAATGAAAATTCTGTCATCATTTACTCACCCTCAGGTTGTTCGAAACCTGTATGAATTTCTTTCTTCCGCTGAAAACAAATGAAGACAGCTGCTGGTAGCCATTGACTTTGGTAGTATGAGAAAAATACTATGGAAGTCATTGGGGACCAGCAACTGTTTGACCAACACATTCTACAAAATATCTTCATTTGTTTCTTTTAGCAGAAAAAAAGAAATTCATACAGGTTTCGAACAACCTTTCATTTTTGGGTGAACCATCCCTTTCACTAAGCAGCATAAACAACAAAACCAAATTTTTCAAATTCTGAACAAATTCTACTCAAAGCGAGAAACATAATGATACTGGAACGCTTCCATTAACAATCAATGAAAGTGTCACTAACTACTTTAGACTGTTTCATGTATAGCTGCAGTTTAGTACGAGCATGCACTCCTGTTATAATCAATGCAGCTGTCTACACTCAGAAAAATCTCTTATTTACACAGTGTCTACACCATGTTGACTGTAATTGGCTTTAGTTTTTAATTTTTATTCAGCTAATTGTGCAGTGGAAATCAAGCAAGAGTCTCAAAGCAGTGTATATGAGGAATATACAGTGAAAACGACTCCGTACCTGGGCTCTCGAGACCCGTGGACACGACCTCCTCCACATTACTACCGTTTAGACTGGCTCTCATGATACGGTCCAGTGTCACGTCTGACCAGAACACCAGCTCGTTGCTATGATGAAAGTCCAACGCGATGGCATTTTCCAGATTATTCAGTAATAACGTGTACTCTGAGCGGTGCGGCAGAACCTGTCGGATGTCAATCCGATTGGCAAACAACAAAACCGGTTCTGGACCTGGGAATAGAAAACGGTTTGTATTAAACTGATCATCTAGGTTCCAAAATCACCCGATGTTTTGCTGCTTTCACAGGAGATACTGAGCCTCACCCAAAGCTTTGCAGCTGCGTTTGTCGGGTCGAAGCTCGTAACCTTGCACACACCAGCAGTGAAATCCTCCTTCTATGTTGGTACAGCCTTGACTACAGTAACCTTCATCTGCACACTCATCAACATCTGCGTTCAAACGCAGGAAAGTTTAGAGAGATTAAATACACCACATAAAAACATTTATTAGTCAGTTTAACCTTCAGTTAACTAACTAGTTAGAAACAGAAGACTTCACAAGAAGTCTTCACAGTCTATAACTGAGAACTTGCAACAATATCTAACAACACTATGGTGAACAAAGTCCAATACATTCCTGGATTTCTACACTTAAAGATCCAAAAGGATTTAGTTTTAATAAAAGCAAACACTGTTAAGTGATACTGTACTGTAATATCCCTCAAATAGAACATCATTATGGAGTAACACAAAATACACAAACATATGCTTTGAGGTTCATAAATAGTACAATTAATATGCAACATGTCTAGGCTATAGTCAAAGTTTAAATGTAATATTAAATATTCATTATAATATAATAAACAGGATGTGTTCTCTCAGTTGAGAGATCAAAACCCTGAAATAACTTGAGCAACAAAAAAAACCCAGAGATGTTGGCTTATTAGTATTATAAAAGTTATTGTCATATCGGTGTCCTCTTATGTGAGGTTCTTATTTAATCAATAAATTCAATCGAACAAAAATACTACTTTTTAAAATATGAAACTTTAACCGCCAGTAGGTGGCAGCAAGTGACTGTCTTAATGAGTGAGTTGCATCAACCGATTCGTTTAAAAAGCGGATTCATTTTAACTTTGCAAACGACTGAACTTATAGCCTGATTGAATCATTTGCTGGTCCGTGTAACGCTGAGGAACAAAACACTGTTGTTCGGAGACAAAGCGGTTCTGCTGTTTGTTCTGTTCTCTTTCTTACGGAGCAAAACGAAATTTTGTGTCTGAAAGTTACTCTGTAAGTTGTTGTTTATTGTAC